ATAGGTATTGGAATGCGGCCAGATATTATGGAATTACCAAACCTACACTCTGCCATCCTGCTCAGAATCCGACTCGGATTCCTCGCTGTCATATTCGTGTTAATTTGATTCCAAGATCAAACTGCGTTCTTTTAATTGTCATCAAGTCTTTTCCGTTATATATTGTAGCCTTTTTTCTCGCCTTTTTTTTCTTCTTAAATTGTATCCTTTTTTGTTTTCACCTTGTACTTTCCTAATATGTTCCTTACTTTTCTCTCTTCTTTGTAAATCTTTAGTATTTCTTCTTTTATATCTTCTTTGAATCATTCATGGTAGTTTCGTATTTCCTCAATTCTGCGTTTTTCATAGTTACATCTTTCATTTTCACTTTTCTGTCTGTCTTCATTTGTGCGCCGTGTAGCGTATTCTCGTTGCTCTTTTTCGTCTTCTCGTCTTTCTGCATAGACATATTTATCTTTTTTTGTCTTTTCGTTTTTCTTTATGTGCACATCTATCTTCTTCGTTTTCTCGTCTTTCTTCATATGCACGTCGATTTTCTTCGTCTTTTCGTCTTTTTTCAATTCTGCGATTCTTCTCTCCGTCGTTCTGTTTCTTCTCATACCTATGTTATTTTTTCTACTTTCTTCCATGTTTTTTTTTGCACGTCCTTCGTCTTCACGTCTTTCGTCTTCACGTCTTTTGTCGTCACGTCTTTCGTCGTCACGTCTTTCGTCCTCACGTCTTTCGTCTTCACGTCTTTCATCATCACGTCTTCCGTCTTCACGTCCTTAGTATTCATTCTCAGTCTTCTCGCAAGAATGTATGTCACGCCCAATATTGCAGCACTTCTTCTACCTCGTTAAAATAGCAATATCAACATCCACGCTGACATCATTCCCAAGCAACCATCATTGCTTGTAGGGTTTTAGTAGTTGTCTACAGTTCATTTTTTCCCAAGATATATTTCGACATTGTCAACTTTGAAACAATGCCGCTTATTGGTCGCAAGATACCATTTGCACGACATGCATTGTGAAACTGATGTCAACCTGCAGAGATACCTCATTTGGCGACCAATCAAGGCTAAGAGGTATTGTTTATGTTTCGAAATTTTCAATGTCAAAATCCATCTTGGGAAAAAATAGAACATAGGGGTGAATGAAACAACACAGTTCTTCTATAGTCCGTTAAATACCATTTTAAAGTCACGTGATACTGGTGGCAAAAAACGTATGTCCATTGATTATGTCGTTGATATCACCTACAAAAAGCTACTGGTGGTTAATTACTATTGAATTTTAATATATGTTTCCACTAGCATTTTACAAACGCGTAGTATTGACCAATCAGAGGGCAATTTTAATACTTGCAATTGTTGCGAGACTCACTTTTGTCGCATCTGCTGTCTGTTGTAATACATTCTGAACTTAAACTGGGTACCCGTTTTCTATTTGCTTCTTTTCGAGTTGGAAAAAGGTTAATATAGTCAAAATTACTAGCTGTGTTTGTTCGTTGTATCATTTGCGAAAATAACTTTGACAAACTAATTGATGACAGTGACGGATACCTACTATTTCAGGTAAGAATATTATGAACAATAATTAGACAGCATTTTTTTTGTCAATTTTACTATCACCGCTGTTTGAGATGTATTCAACAAGGATAGAGAAAAATCACGTGACTTTAAAATGGTATTTATGTCCGATTGACCAATAAAGTGCTATTTATAGAACAGTTTTGCGTCAATAAAGTAGTACTTTATTGTACTAGTAAAATAAAGTGCTACTTTATTTGACTAGTAAAATAAAGTGCTACTTTATTGCCTACCTAGACTACCTGACAAGGTAAAACTGGTCCTGACAAAGGCGAAACAGGTCCTGACAACCTGCCAAGGTGAAACAGGTATACCTACGCGAATTTTACTTTTTTCATTAAATTTTTTAAATTTTTAACAAAAATCAGTCGCAATCCTACATAAAATCATGTATATAACGCTTACATAAACAGGCTTTATTGACTCATTATTTAATAGCATCGCTCGCAAGCTCGCTCGGCCATAAAATTATTCGTACAATAAAGCCTTACTTTATGTACTTGTTATATAAATAGCTATTGTTGGACTATAGCACATTCATGACAGACTTTATTTTATTTGTCACTTTCCTACAATATTAAAGTACAAACGAGTAGATTGTCGCGGAACTTATGGGCGGACCCAGCGATTTATTCACCAATATGCTGCTCAAGTACAATAATACTAATCTGATTCACTCAGTTGTGAATTTTTCTCATTAGTTCAAAAACTACATGTTTCAGGTGAGTGTCTTATTTGAACAGTTCAACAGTATATTGGTGAGTAGATGGCTGCGGAACTCGCTGCGATCGTCCCGCAGAGGTCCACCCATAGGTTCCGTAATAATCCACTTATTTGTACAGTGTGTTTTTCTATATATTGACACCCCATTGACAGCCTTTACCTTTACAGGTAGAAGAAAGGTATAAATACAAAAAGTTGTACAGTTTTGGCTGAATTTTTAGAAACCATGCCAGAAATAAAATTTGAATGTCAGAAATGTGACATTTTGCATACTTCCAGCTTTTTTCAAATGGGATGCCCTATATTTCATTCTATATACTTGAGGAGCACAATGCCCCGATCTATATTTGATTGAACAATCTCTCATATATTTGGCTCCAAAAATTGTAAAAATACTATCCTACTACTGATTTTGTGAACCATTCTACCTGTATAGGTGAAAGCTGCAGGTAAAATTTGAGGTACTTGGTTTCTCTGATAGTATTTTTAAAATTTTTAGAACCAAATAATGTTGGCTATTGTATGTGTCAGTTATTCTCATTAGTTTAAAAATTACGCGTTTCAGGTGAGTGTCTTATATGAATAGTTCAACAGTATATTGGGAAGTAGATGGCTGCGGAACTCGCTGAGCTCTTCCGCAAAAGTCCATCCATAAGTTCTGCAATAATCCACTTATTTGTACTTGAACAATAACTTATTATATAAAGTCAAAATTTGTAAGATTATCCACTTTTTGTCAATTTGCCTTTCAACAGGAATTAGTAATGTTACTTTACCAAACTAGTAATATAATGTGACAAGTTATTCAAGTACAAATGAGTGGATTGTTGCGGAACTTATGGGTGGACCTCTGCGGGACGAGCGCAGCGAGTTCCGCAGCCATCTATTCATCAATATGTTGTTTAATTACAATACTTACCTGATTCAGTCAGTTGTGAATTTTTCTTATTAGTTCAAAAACTACATGTTTCAGGTGAGTGTCTTATTTGAATAGTTCAACAGTATATTGGTGAGTAGATGGGGAGGTCCACCCATAAGTTCCGCAATAATCTACTTATTTGTACAGGGTGTTTTTTTATATATTGACACCCCACCTACAGCCTTTATCTTTACAGGTAGAAGAAAGTTGTAACTACAAAAGTAGTACAGTTTTGGCTAAATTTTTAGAAACCTAGCTACTTTATGATTTGGATTTTCAAAAACGTTAAAGACCCATAACTTTTATGTATTAGATAAAAAAGCTGAAATTTCCAGCGATTCTTATTCCAATAGAGAAGTCCAATCTCTGAAAATTTTAGCTTATTTGGACTTATAAACCCAGAAATAAAATCGCGTTGATCAATTTGGGATAGATTTATCAATTTTTCAGAGTGCCTTTTTCATAGATTCCGGCTTCATATCTCAGAATAATTTAGTGTATAGAGTTTAAGACGACCCCAATGATAATTTAGTCACAAAATCTCAACATAAAAAAAACTGAAATTTCAGATAGATAGCTGAAATGTTCAGCGATTTAGAAAACTAATTACAATTTTTTTTTAGATTTGATATCCAATATCAACGATAATTTACCACCAATCGAAATCAAGCCAGCAGACAACGCAATAGTTGAAGTTGATCCCTCCAATCTCAATGAACCAATAATGCCAGACGTTCAACTTGAAACAGACCTAGTAGATGGTAGGTAGTGGATTGATTCTATATAAGTATTATCATATTATCATTTTTAATTTTCTGAGTAAATTTTTTCATAGATTTCGGCTTCAAATCTAAGAATAATTTAATCATAGATATTTTTTTGTAGCTATAGTATCCAGTATCAATGAAACAATACAAGAAATTCAAGGCCAAATACCAGCTGATGGAACACTTGAACATGAAGCAGGTAATAAATGAAAAATTGCTAGATGGATAAATCAAATACGAGTACTATTGCATAAATATTAGATATACATATTATGATCGATACCAGTATTTCAAATACTGTTCAGATTACAAAGATGAATATAATTGTTATTATTGTTATTGTTTCGTCCACTCAATAGTTTTAAGTTATTTGTATTAAATTGTTAAGATTGTCCTTCATTGAATTATTTTTGTTTTGTTTATTTTGCCAATTATTTATTGAAGTACATACTTTAAATTTGGAGTAAACTTTTAATCCACGATTCACCCTTCAGATTATTTTCGCGTTCTTGAATATTTGAGGTCTTTACCTACTTAACGCATTGCCCTCATATATGCGTGGAAGAATCATACGACAATTCGACGTGACGCATCGGAAATTAAAAACCAGTGCATTTTTGGGAATGGTCGCGATTAGAAGCCCTCCGTTCTCGACCAATTTTACTCGCACTCAACCATACCTCAAATAACTTGCCGGCCGGCCGTGATATTCGCGAACCGTGATCGATCAAGTTCAACCGCAACTCGGCAACTCGCAGCTGTAACTGGATTTGGATTAGGTAAGATCTCAATTGTACCCGTAATTTTGAAACCGCAAAATACAGTCCACTTTTCTCACAGCTGATGCTCAGCTATAGACTAGATTTTGGAAGTCAATTATTATTTAAATATTGAAATTTTACTCCGCATTCCGAAACCTGGTTCAAACACGACAGTTATACTTATGAATAAATAAACGATTTCAAAAAAAAAAAAAATTTGGCTATTCTGGATCAATATTATCATAAATTTGTTTCAGCTCTAATATCCAATGTTTATGAAGAAATTCCAAACGAGGCATTACCTGATACTGGAACAGGTAATGAATTTATAATAAAAAGCATTATTACCAAATATCTAATTTTCAGCTATAATTTCCGACGAAATAATCCACCAAATCCAAGCAGAAGCTGACGCAATGATTGAAAACAACACCATTCTCGCACCTTCGTCCACTGTAGATCCATCCAAACTCTTCATCGTTGTCTACTCCAGACTAGATCCAAATGGTACGAAGATTCCAATAACTGCAGCTGAGCATATCAATTCAACCTCTTTCAATCCACGCTTACGTACAATAATTTACGTTTTTGGTTGGACTAGTGGTGTGGATAAGCCAGGCACTGTAGCAATAAGAAAAGCCTTATTGGAAAAGACTGATGCAAATGTACTTATTGTTGATTGGTCTGTGTATACGCAAACAATGAATTATTTCGCTGCTTATAAATCTGTCCCAAAAACTGGAGAATATTTGGGTCAATTTTTAGCCAAACTAATCATTACCTATCCAGTACGTAAAATCACTGTGGTTGGACATAGTTTAGGGGCACACGTGGCAGGATTTGCTGGAAGAATCATTGGAGGGATATTATCTGTGATTATAGCACTAGATCCGGCTGGTGTTTTTTATTCACACCGTAAGAACCAAAAATTCTAGACAACAAATTTTAGTAAGTTTTTTTTTAGTTGAAGCATCTAAAAGACTCAATACAGGGGACGCAAAATACGTAACAGTCATTCATACCAGCTACTTGGGTTTACATTCTCCCATTGGACACTCAGATTTTTATCCCAACGGTGGATGGTACCAGAAAGGATGTACTGAATTTATGTGTTCGCATAAGAGGGCTATGGATTTGTATATAGAGTCGCTTTCGGATACTTTATATGGGAGAAAATGTGCCAAATTTTGGTTGTATGTGTGTGGATTTTGTAGTATGAATGAAGAAAAGAAAATGGGAGGAATATATGTAGATACAACGTAAGTATTGATTAGAATAAGCCAATATTTGTTTAATTATTATTTTTTTTTTTTAGTGCTTTAGGTGATTACTATTTGTGCACCAATGGTGAGCCTCCATATGGACGAAGCAGCATTTAATGATTCAGCAGCGGAGTGTAGTTTTTGTTGTTTTATATATTTTTTTTATAACCACTATTATTCAATTATTTACCTCGAGCCCCAAGAAGAAAAAAAACCACAGCAGAAACCATTAAACCAAGAGATTTTATGGCGTTTCGAGTAAAATCGTCATCGGCAAAAAAGGACCCGACAAAAGTCCGATTGATGACCCGACTTTGCGTTGGGTGACAGGTTAACAGCTACTTTTTTTTGTGTACGGATCGTTAGGAAAACTTTTGGTACAACAATTGAGATTTTTGATCGCAGATAAGATTGGCAATTTTTGAAACAAAGGAAATACACAAAAACCAATTTTAATCCTGAATTATTATGTAGTACTTATTAGATCTACATTATAGGGGTAGTAAAGTACTTGAAAGGATGGAGATAAAAACAAAGTAGAGTGCGTAAGTACTTCAAAAATTGAAGAGTGATGCAAGGGTTCGATTAGAATATGGAAAAGTGGGTAATTACCATAAGCGTAGGGTAGATAAAAATCTATTTTACATACAATCGATAAATGGTTGTAAAATATTTAAAAGTGTGAAATTTTAAAATATTGTAGTGTGTTTTTGGCTTACAGCTCCGTTAATTTCCATCCAATTTCAACGCAATTAGGCTCTAGTAATTGAGGTTAAATAAATTCTCTACAAACCTATTAATTAAGATTTTAATTTCGTTTCAACAATTTTGCACCTGAAAAGCTTCAAAATTGAAATTATGGAACATTAAAAATTTTCCAAAAACGACACTGATACAGTTTTCACGTCACAGCTCCACAGTGGCGGTTCATATGATTATCTGGGGGGAGGGGGAGGGGGGGTAATGGATGACGGGAAAATCATATGTAAAAAATACTAAAAACTTACGAGTTACGATTTTTTGAAAATAATGATGTTTTGTAAAGTAAGACTTTACAAACAATTTTTGCACTCAAAAACTAAAGTGAGTGGAAAGTTGAAATTTTGAGAACTTTTTCCTAATGATTCAATGTAAAAAATACCAAAAACTCAAAGCGATTGAGTTATTATTAATGGAGTTACGATTTTTTGAAAATAATGATGTTTTTTAAAGTAAGGCTTTATAAACATTTTTTTCACTCAAAAACTAAATGGATTGGAAACTTGAAATTTTGAGGACTTTTTTCTAATGATTCAATGTAAAAAATACCAAAAACTCAAAGCGATTGAGTTATTATTAATGGAGTTACGATTTTTTGAAAATAATGATGTTTTGTAAAGTAAGACTTTACCGAGGACTTTACAAATAATTTTTTCACTAAATAAGTAAAGCGAGTGTAAAGTGGAAATTTTGAGGATTTTTTCCTAATGATTCAATGTAAAAAATATCAAAAATTCAAAGCAATTGAGCTATTATTAATAGAGTTACGATTTTTTGAAAATAATGATGTTTTGTAAAGTAAGACTTTACAAACAATTTTTTCACTCAAAAACTAAAGTGAGTGGAAAGTTGAAATTTTGAGGACTTTTTCCTAATGACGCAATGCAAAAAATACCAAAAACTCAAAGCCATCGAGTTATTATTAAAGGAGTTATGATTTTTTGAAAATTATGATGTAAAGTAAGACTTTACAAATAATTTTTTCACTCAATAACTAAAATGAGTGGAAAGTTGAAATTTTGAAGATTTTTTCCTAATGATTCAATGTAAAAAATACCAAAAATTCAAAGCGATTGGGCTATTATTAATAGAGTTACGATTTTTTGAAAATAATGATGTTTTGTAAAGTAAGACTTTACAAACAATTTTTTCACTCAAAAACTTAAGTGAGTGGAAAGTTGAAATTTTGAGGACTGTTTCCTAATGATTCAATGTAAAAAATACCAAAAACTCAAAGCGCTTGAGTTATTAATAATAGAGTTACGATTTTTTGAAAATAATGATGTTTTGTAAAGTAAGACTTTACAAACAATTTTTTCACTTAAAAACTAAAGTGAGTGGAGAGTTGAAATTTTGAGGACTTTTTCTTAATGATTCAATGTTAAAAATACCAAAAACTCAAAGGGATTGAGTTACTATTAATGGAGTTACGATTTTTTGAAAATAATGACGTTTTGTAAAGTAAGACTTTACAAACAATTTTTTCACTCAAAAACTTAAGTGAGTGGAAACTTGAAATTTTGAGGACTTTTTCCTAATGATTTAATGCAAAAAATACCAAAAACTCAAAGCGATTGAGTTATTATTAATGGAGTTACGATTTTTTGAAAATAATGATGTTTTATCAAGTAAGACTTTACAAACAATTTTTTCACTCAAAAACTAAAGTGAGTGAAAACTTGAAATTTTGAAGATTTTTTCCTAATGATTCAATGTAAAAAATACCAAAAATTCAAAGCGATTGAGCTATTATTAATAGAGTTACGATTTTTTTGAAAATAATGATGTTTTGTAAAGTAAGACTTTACAAACAATTTTTTTACTCAAAAACTAAAGTGAGTGGAAAGTTGAAACTTTGAGGACTTTTCCCAATGATTCGATGTAAAAAATACCAAAAACTCAAAGCGATTGAGTTATTATTAATGGAGTTACGATTTTTTGAAAATAATGATGTTTTGTGAAGTAAGACTTTACAAACAATTTTTCCACTCAAAAACTAAATTGAGTGGAAAGTTGAAATTTTTAGGACTTTTTCCTAACGATTTAATGTAAAAAGTACCAAAAACTCAAAGCGATTGAGTTATTATTAATGCAGTTACGATTTTTTGAAAATAATGGTGTTTTGTAAAGTAAGACTTTACAAACAATTTTTTCACTTAAAAACTTAAGTGAGTGGAGAGTTGAAATTTTGAGGACTTTTTCTTAATGATTCAATGTAAAAAATACCAAAAACTCAAAGGGATTGAGTTATTATTAATGGAGTTACGATTTTTTGAAAATAATGATGTTTTGTAAAGTAAGACTTTACAAACAATTTTTTCACTCAAAAACTTGAGTGAGTGGAGAGTTGAACTTTTGAGGATTTTTTCTTAATGATTCAATGTAAAAAATACCAAAAACTCAAAGCCATTGAGTTATTATTAATGGAGTTACGATTTTTTGAAAATAATGATGTTTTGTAAAGTAAGACTTTACAAACAATTTTTTCACTCAAAAATTAAAGTGAGTGAAAAGTTGAAATTTTGAGGACTTTTTCTTAGTGATTCAATGTAAAAAATACCAAAAACTCAAAGGGATTGAGTTATTATTAATAGAGTAACGATTTTTTGAAAATAATGATGTTTTGTAAAGTAAGACTTTACAAACAATTTTTTCACTCAAAAACTTAAGTGAGTTGAAAGTTGACATTTTGAGGACCTTTTTTTAATGATTCAATGTAAAAAAATACCAAAAACTTAAAGGGATTGAGTTATTATTAATGGAGTTACGATTTTTTGAAAATAATGATGTTTTTTAAAGTAAGGCTTTATAAACATTTTTTTCACTCAAAAACTAAATAAAGTGGAAACTTGAAATTTTGAGGACTTTTTCCTAATGATTCAATAATACCAAAAACTCAAAGCGATTGAGTTATTATTAATGGAGTTACGATTTTTTGAAAATAATAATGTTTTGTAAAGTAAGACTTTACAAACAATTTTTTCACTCAAAAACTAAAGTGAATGAAAACTTGAAATTTTGAGGACTTTTTCCTAATGATTCAATGTAAAAAATACCAAAAACTCAAAACAATTTAGTTATTATTAATGGAGTTACGATTTTTTGAAAATAATGATGTTTTTTAAAGTGAGGCTTTATAAACATTTTTTTCACTCAAAAACTAAATGGAGTGGAAACTTGAATTTTTGAGGACTTTTTCCTAATGATTCAATGTAAAAAAATACCAAAAACTTAAAGGGATTGAGTTATTATTAATGGAGTTACGATTTTTTGAAAATAATGATGTTTTTTAAAGTAAGGCTTTATAAACATTTTTTTCACTCAAAAACTAAATAAAGTGGAAACTTGAAATTTTGAGGACTTTTTCCTAATGATTCAATAATACCAAAAACTCAAAGCGATTGAGTTATTATTAATGGAGTTACGATTTTTTGAAAATAATAATGTTTTGTAAAGTAAGACTTTACAAACAATTTTTTCACTCAAAAACTAAAGTGAATGAAAACTTGAAATTTTGAGGACTTTTTCCTAATGATTCAATGTAAAAAATACCAAAAACTCAAAACAATTTAGTTATTATTAATGGAGTTACGATTTTTTGAAAATAATGATGTTTTGTTATGAAAGACTTTACAAACAATTTTTTCACTCAAAAACTTAAGTGAGTGGAAAGTTGAAATTTTGAGGACTTTTTCCTAATGATTCAATGTAAAAAAATATCAAAAACGTAAAGGGATTGAGTTATTATTAATGGAGTTACGATTTTTTGAAAATAATGATGTTTTTTAAAGTAAGGCTTTATAAACATTTTTTTCACTCAAAAACTAAATAAAGTGGAAACTTGAAATTTTGAGGACTTTTTCCTAATGATTCAATAATACCAAAAACTCAAAGCGATTGAGTTATTATTAATGGAGTTACGATTTTTTGAAAATAATAATGTTTTGTAAAGTAAGACTTTACAAACAATTTTTTCACTCAAAAACTAAAGTGAATGAAAACTTGAAATTTTGAGGACTTTTTCCTAATGATTCAATGTAAAAAATACCAAAAACTCAAAACAATTTAGTTATTATTAATGGAGTTACGATTTTTTGAAAATAATGATGTTTTTTAAAGTGAGGCTTTATAAACATTTTTTTCACTCAAAAACTAAATGGAGTGGAAACTTGAATTTTTGAGGACTTTTTCCTAATGATTCAATGTAAAAAAATACCAAAAACTTAAAGGGATTGAGTTATTATTAATGGAGTTACGATTTTTTGAAAATAATGATGTTTTTTAAAGTAAGGCTTTATAAACATTTTTTTCACTCAAAAACTAAATAAAGTGGAAACTTGAAATTTTGAGGACTTTTT